CAAAACACCACAGGCAAGAACCGAGCTCTGCAGAGATGGGTTGATGCGAGGAAATTTGTCGCTCGAAAAATACGGAAGAAAGCACACCCGCAACGCGAGGTGGACCGAGAGCGACACGAGACCGCAGCGGCCGTCAAGGCGGCCGCGAAGAAGAAGGCACGACAAGGCGACCTATCGTTCTGCACGTTCAACGTACGCACGCTCGCCTACAGCGGTAGGAATCCCATCGGTCACAACGTGATGACGGTCATGCAGATTTGTTCCGCGACCGGCTGTGATGTGATAGGACTTCAGGAGACCCGACGAGCGGGGCAAGGTTCAATTGCACACGACGGGTACGTGATTATCTTTTGGAGTGGCGCCCGCACTGGCACCAAGGACAAGAGGGCTGTACACGGTGTATGCATAGCGATCAAGGAGGCCATGTGGGAGAGTTTGGGCGAGGAAGGTAGGACGATGGAGTGCATTAGCCCGAGGCTGATGAAGGTGCGTCTACAAATTGGCCGCACCTGCGGAGTAACTTTCGTGGTGGGGTACGCCCCCACGGAAACTGTCCGCACCACCGCGGGCGGTGATGTTAACGCCAAGGACTCCTTCTGGACTGCTCTCGACGCAGCGATCCGGGAGGTTCACAGCCGTGACCATCTCGTGGTGCTAATGGACGCCAACGCACGTACTGGTAGGAGGCGAGACGGGTGCTGCGATGCCAAGATTATGGGCGCGTACGGACGCGACATTATGAACAACAACGGGGAACGACTCCTTGGACTGGCNGTCTACAAATTGGCCGCATTTGCGGAGTCGTGGTGGGGTACGCCCCCACGAAAACTGTCCGCACCACCGCGGGCGGTGATGTTAACGCCAAGGACTCCTTCTGGACTGCTCTCGACGCAGCGATTCGGGAGGTTCACAGCCGTGATCATCTCGTGGTGCTAATGGACGCCAACGCACGCACTGTTACGAGGCGAGACGGATGCTGCGATGCCAAGATTATGAGCACGTACAGACGCGACATTATGAACAACAACGGGGAACGACTCCTTGGACTGGCATCAGACAACCAACTCTCCCTGACCAACACCTACTTCCGGACACCGAAAGGTGAAGTGCAGCACACATTCCAGAGCTCCAACAAGGGGAAGGAGAAGTACCACCTCGACTTCATCCTCATGCGCCAGACGGACCGGGTCTTCGTGCGTAATGTCTCCGTCAAACGTGTCGACTTCAAGGACTCTGACCACAACCTCGTGCTTACGACTGTCCGCCTCCCCCCCCGTGTCGCACCTAATCGACGAGTGCGGGGGAACAGCGGAAGCAGCCGAATCCGTGTCGACCTCGAGCGGTTGAGGAAGGACAAACACCTACGGGTCGGCTTCCAAAACAGGGGCTCCAGCCGCCCTCCGTCCACGGCGCTCAGGCGGCCAACGGGAGAGACCGCCGCCGAGCTGACGGCTACGGTGATGTTGGCCGCTGCTGAGACCGCGCCGCTGGCCAAGTGTGCATGAGGGCAGAGAGGCTGGTACACGAGCGAAGCGCACAAAGAGATCTCCGAAGCGTCGAAGGAGCTTAAGGCGGCCCAGCAGCAACTGCGTGGGGCCTCAAAGAACAGCGCCTTCGAGGCGACCCTGAAGGCGATGCTCAAGGCGGCGCGGAAGAAGCGCAGCATCGCGAGGTGGAGAGCACTGGAAACGTTCTTCGAGGGCTTTGTACGGCAACTCGTGAAGAAGAGCCGCGAGGGGGATTAGGCGGGTTTCTACAAGCACCTGAAGATAATCGACGTCGAAGGTAAGAGGTCGTTCACCTCTCAGAACATCAAGGACGAGGACGGCAAGGTCCTTCGGGACCCCACGTTTATTCGCCAACGGTGGGCACGGTGGTTCCACAAGCTTCTCAACACCAAGTCGCCGACCATCGACCTGCATGCGGCTGACAANGGTCCTTCGGGACCCCACGTTTATTCGCCAACGGTGGGCACGGTGGTTCCACAAGCTCCTTAACACCAAGTCGCCGACCATCGACCTGCATGCGGCTGACAAGGTCAAGCGGTGGCCCACGTGCGTGCCACTCGACGACATCCCATCTTTTCTTGAGGTTGAGGAAGCGGTACGGGAAATAGTCAACAGAAAGGCCGTCGGGCCGGACGACCGACCAGCTGAGCTGATCAAGCTTTTCCTGCACGGAGATCAAGGTCTCCTCCGCGAATTCCACGCCATTGTCGTGGACGTGTGGCAGACTGGGGACGTACCACAGCAGTGGAAGGATGCCACCATCAAAGTGCTGTTCAAGAAGGGGGGCACAATGGAGTGCGGCAACTATCGGGGCATCTCTCTCGTCGCACACGCCGGCAAGGTGCTGCTTAAGGTAACAAGTGGAGTACACGGGCAAGAAGGGCAGGTCGGCGGGGAAGAAGACGTCGATGGTGACGGACACGGAGGCCTTGTGGGCTATGCTCTACGCTGACGACTCGCCTATCGTCTCGCGCTCGCCGCAGAGTCTCGAGAAGATTATGTCGGTCATCGTGCGCGTGGCCGGCCTGTTCGGACTGATGGTATCGGAGCCAAAGACGGAGATCATGTGCATGCTGCCGAAAGGGATCGAGGAACGCCCGTTCACGGTCAGCGCCGCCGGCCAGACGTACAAGCAGACAGATCGGTTTGAGTACCTCGGACGTACCATCTCCACCGACGGGAAGGCCGACCGGGCGATCACGAGCCGCAGCTGCCTAGCGTGGAAGTGTTACCGCCGGAACGGTGCTTCGATGTACGACAGGCGACGGGCCAACCGCCAGCTCAAGATCCGGCTTCTCCAGGCTGAAGTGGTGGAGACTCTCCTGTATGGGTGCGCCTCGTGGAGCCTAACAGCGGAGCACTACACGAAGCTCAATGGGACCCACCGCCAGTTCCTTACACGGTGCATCGGCTGGAGCAAGCGGAAACGCTCAGACCGCCCCCTGTCCTATGCCCAGGCCCTCATCCAGGCAGGCTGCGAGGAAACCATCGAGGC